CAGTAATCTTAGCATTTTGGGAGGCCAAGGCAGGTGGATCGCCTAAAGTCAGGGGGTGGAGACCAGCCTAGCCAACATGACCAAACCCCATCTCTACTAAAAATACTAAAATTAGCCAGGTGCCTATAGTGTCAGCTACTCAGCTGGCTGAGGCAGGAGAATCACTTGAACCTGGAGCGGGATGTGGAGGTGCAGTGAGCCACTTCGCTCCAGCCTGGGCGAAAGAGTGAAGCTCTGAGACATACTAATTTTAGCACAGTGGGGAAAGCTGGAGTCCAATATCAAGGAGAAGCTGGTGGGGGAGTAGGATAATCAGGGTGGACTCCATTTCAGACATCTAGCTGAATCATAATGGGCAAAGGGAGAGAAAATTTAGATTGGAAAGAGTATTTTTACAGGGAGAGACGGACGCAGTAAACAAGGAAAGACTGAAGATGAAAGCGGCAAAGATGACATCAATTGGAAAAAATCTCCTAGGAAAAGTTAGGGCACAAGATCCAAATCAAAGGGATAAGAGGCCCAGGCCTGAGAGATACAGGCCTCATATTCACTTTGCTATGAGCTATTTTATTTGGGGCAAATCACTTAATCCTCTGAGTTTATTGCCTTATCTGTAAAATGGAGATAGAACTTACACCATAAGATTATGATGTGTAAACAAAATAACATTGGTTAAGTACCTGGCATATATAGTATATCACTATAAAAATAAGTGTATTTTTATTGGATTGCATAGAGAATATTTATATCTTTACAGAATATATGTAGGTACAGAAATGTATTGATTTCCTAGGGCTTCTGGAACAAAGTGCCACAAACTGGGTGACTTAAAACAACATAAGTTTGTTCTTCCAAATTCAGAAGGCCAGAAGTCCAAAATCAAGGTGTCAGTAGAGGACATTCTTTCTTGGAGACTCAAAGGGTGATTTTGTTCCGTGCCTCTTCCCTAACTTCTGGTGGTTGCTGGTGATCCTTGGCATTGGTTCCTTGGCCCAAAGCAGCATAACTCTCATCCTTGCCTCTGTCATCACAGGGCTCCTCCCCACCTATTCGTCTGTGTGTCTCTGTCTCTTCTTCCTCTTCTTTTTCTTTTTTTTTTTAGACAGAGTCTCACTCTGTCACCAGGCGCCAGGCTGGAGCGCAGTGGCACAGTCTTGGCTCACTGCAACCTCTGCCTCCCGGGTTCAAGCAATTCTTCTCCCTCAGCCTCCCTAGTAGCTGGGACTACAGGCAAGCGCCACCAAAGCCCAGCTAATTTTTTGTAGTTTTAGTAGAGACGGGGTTTCACCATGTTGACCAGGATGGTCTCGATCTCTTGACCTCGTGATCCACCCGCCCCAGCCTCCCAAAGTGCTGGGA